TTATGTGGTTCATGAGTCTGAGATTTCAATAATCATTATCATCACCGTCATCATTACCACCACCACCATCAGCACAATCAGCACCATCAGCATCATCATCATCATCATCATCATCATCATCACCTGTAATTAGAATTGCTAAACGGTCTTATTAATAAAAAACCTGGAACCAGATATTGGGGTGAAAGCTGAAAGATCAGAGAAACAAAACAAACCAGCCACGTTCTTACCTCTATGGAATCCTCAGCCTCAAGAGAGTGAGTTCCTGTTTCCTCACACCTTATATTCCTTTCTCTGCCCAGACATTACATCCTGGGACTAAAGGTGTGTGTGCTTCCTGGTACTGGGATTAAAGGTGTGTGCCACCAGTGCCTAGCTCTATTTCCAGTGTGGCCTTGAACTCACGGAGATCCAGACCGATCTCTGCCTCCCGAGTGATAGGATTAAGGGTATGTGCCACCACTGTCTGGCCTCTATGTCTAATCTAGTGGCTGGCTCTATCCTCTAATCCCCAGGCAAATTTATTGAGGTACACAATATATCACTACAATCACCACCACCATCATCATCATCATCACCATCACTACCATCATCACCATCATCACCATCACCACCATCAGTCATTCTAGGAAAGGAACACAAAGACCTTCATGTTGGTTTACTTGAAGATCAGATTAATAAATCACAGTTTGCCGATTTTGTTCTCCTGATAGGTAGAATTATGTGTAGGTTGGGGGTTAGTGAACTGAGAATTAGGAAAGGAGAGCTGACTGGGACTCTCCCAGAGCTTACTGCCTGAAGTCTTTGGGCCCCTCCCCATCTGCCTCGCCACCACAAACCATGCGCAGTAGGATATCATTCATAGCAAGGTCGCTGGGAACTCTTAGGATAGTCAGGGCCACTGCCTTGTGAGAGCAGACCGTTGAGGAAGTCAAAGTCACGGAGACGGAGTCGCAGTGGGTTTCAGAGCTTTCATTCCCAGCACCGAGGCATTTTTGAAATCACTTTTCCATTGTTCAGTAGTGTCTTGCTTACGTGTTGAGTCCTGTAATTTTTTTCAGACGCTACACTGAAATGAATACAATCCCTTCTGCTGACTGAAGCTTTGGGTTTATGCAGGGTAAGAGGCTCAGCACCCAGGCAGCACCACTGTGCAGCTGCTATGCTTGCTGTTGGCTGCTCTCCTCTCAAATTTGTTTCCACACCTTCCTCTGTCTCCTTAGTGCCACTCACTGGCCACAGTCCCTTCCCTGTCATCCCACCCTGGTTCGTTAACACGCCAGCCTTCCATTCTTCGACACCATTTTTTTTTTATCCAGTGAAGGAATTGGACCATCTGTCTAGTAAAGCCCTTCTTCAAGCTCCCACCATCCTCCACTCAGCACCTACACACCTTCAGTTCTGCCTCCCTTGCCGCGGCGGTACAGGACAGGTCCTGCCCCAGCGAACACCACCTTCCTTCCCACACCTGCTCAGAGGCCTTGGGTGCTGACGGCATCATCTAGCTCTGATTCTCCTCCTGGATCATTAACATCAGCATTAAAATTTATCTCTCCCCGGGAAGTGGTGGCACACGCCTTTAATCTCAGTACTCGGGAGGCAGAGGCAGGTGGATCTCTGTGAGTTCAAGGCCAGCCTGGTCTACAGAGTGAGTTCCAGGACAGCCAGGCCAACACAGCAAAACCTTGTCTCAAAAAACCAAAAAACAAACAAACAGACCAAAACCAAAAACCTATTTCTCCCATCTTGAAATAAAAAAGAACAAAAATGTCTTTTAAACTGTTTCAAGAATGTTCTAAATTGTGATGAAAAACCTCCACATGACATGAAACTAAGTTGCAATTGTCTCTAAGCGTAAGTTAGAGTCATGTTGTGCAACCAATCTCTAGAGCTGGCAAACGTGAGACTCCGAACTCTAAACAGCTCTTCACTTCCTCCAGCCTGAGCGCTACAATGCCCACGCACTACAATGCCCATGCACTACAATGCCCACGCGCTACAATGCCCATGCGCTACAATGCCCACTCCACTCTCTCTCTGACGTCTGACTATGTAAATGGTGGTCCTGCAAAGCCGGGCCTCCAGACTGTCCTTCAGACTGCCTTCAATTCTTTCCCGTGAGCGTGTGCTGAGCCACTGGGCTGTGTGGTGGTTCCACTTTGGATTTTCAAGGAATTTTCTTCCTGATTTCCATACTGACCATACCATTTCACATACTCAGTATACAAGTGTCCGGTTTCCCCACGACCTTGCCAACATCACTGTTTTGTGTTTTGTTTTTCCTTTTGACGGTGTGAGGTGGCACCTATTGCAGGGTAGATCTCCCCACGCTACTTCTCCCCAGTGCTGTGGCTTGTTCTTTGTTCCTCTCCATGACAAAACTATAACGTGTTGGCTTTATTTCCTGATTCCAATGCCTTTTTCCATCATTTCCTAAGTTTATTCCAATAGGAACCTTCCCATTTAAAAATTTCAGGGCATCCAGGTATGTGTCGTCATCCTTACACAACCTGAAGCCTTTCTGGCCCCAACCCTCAGAGTCACTCATGGCTTCTCTACCCAGACACATTCCACCTTCCAAATGTATCCAGAAAAGCCCCATCACTCCTCACCTGCACAGCTGTCACCCGGATCACCGACAGTCACCTCTCGCTCATCTCTATACTAGTATACTGTGTCCCTGTAAGCCTCTTTTGGACATGACGGGTCAGAAGGATTAAGTGTTAGTGGCCTGTTCAGAAGTCTTGAGGTGGTAGCTGGAGGCCTGGCGCGTCCTCCAAAGGCAGGCACAGTCTCACCCTTTACCTTTTCCGCCTTCCACCCTCCTCCTGCCTCGGGATCTTGGTGTTGGATGTTCTCATTGCCAGGAAGATTCTTCCCCTAGACAGCTGTGTTACTTGTTCAATTCAGTCTTTATACAGTGTGACTCAAGCCATTTCGTGTTAAAACTTCACAAAGTGCATCCCTTGGGTTATTTCCCAGTCCCAGCCGTCTCAGTTCCTGACACTCCATAACCCACACGTGTTGTGTTTGTTGCTCCCCTGCCCCGTTATAGTAGCAGCTCCATGAGGGTAAGTTTTGGTTTGCTTTATCCCCAGTTATGTCATAAAACAGCTCCTCTGGCTTGAAACAGGATAATTCATATCTGCCGTGACTAAACAGGCAAATACAGCAAACTGGTTGTAATGGTTTCAATGAGAAAGGCCCTCATAGGTTCATATGTTCAAATGATTAGTCACCAGGGAATGGAACTGTGTGGGAAGGACTAGGAGGTGTGGCCTTGTTGGATTGAGTGTGGCCTATTGGAGGAAGTGTGTCACTGGGAGTGGGCTTTAAGGTTTTGAAAGCCCAGGCCAGGCCCAGTCTCTCCCTCTGTCTCTGCACACTGCCTGCAGACCAGGATGTAAAGCTCTCAGCTACTGCTCCAGCACCATGCCAGCCTGCTTCCTGCCATGATGATCATGGACTAACCCTCTAAACTTGTAAGCAAACCCTCAATTAAATGATTTTTTTAGAAGAGATGCCTTGGTCATGGTGTCTCCTCACAGCACTAGAGCAGTAGACTCAGACAATGAATGCACAGAATTTGGAGCACTTTGTCTCTATGTGATGATGGAGCATTCTGTCTCTATGTGATGATGGAGCACTCTGTCTCTATGTGATGATGGAGCACTCTGTCGTCTCTATGTGATGATGGAGCACTCTGTCTCTATGTGATGATGGAGCACTTTGTCTCTATGTGACGATGGAGCACTTTGTCTCTATGTGATGATGGAGCACTTTGTCTCTATGTGATGATGGAGCACTTTGTCTCTATGTGATGACTGAGCACTCTGTCTCTATGTGACCATGGAGTACTCTGTCTCCATCACTGTTAATGAGACATGCAGCATTTGGAGCACCTTTCCCTCATCACTATTACTAGTCTATCCTAGAAGTCCAGAAGCATGTTAGGATGTGGATGCATGTGAATTAACAATGAAAAACAACCCCTGGCTGTCCAAAGTGTGCTCATGGACCTGCAAAGACATCCCACCCGGGGGCTCATTACAATGTGGAATCTGATCCCAGAACTCAGAATCAAAACTGGCATTTTTGTGAGACCCACAAGAGATTGCTTGAAAAAGTTGAAAAGCTTGGGGATGGAGCAATTGTTCTTGAACTGTCTCTACACACTGAAAAAAAATGAAACTTTTGAAATTCCTGATGCCTAGGGGTCCACTTTTGTAAACTGACTTGATTCTTCTGGAGAGGGGTCCCCACATGAGTCACTGGTGAAAAGGAGGAGCTATTGACTTATTCCATCTTCAAACTGAATCCACCATCTGTCCCCATTTATCCTCCACTGCCATCCATCACTCTGATCCAACCTAGTACAGGTGCAGAGCGGCTTATTGACCCAATATCATTGACTTGTACTTCCCTTAGTACAAATTCCATCTCCTTACGTGTGGTTTTGGGGGAGACCTTCACAGGTGGTGGCTGGATATTCCTGTACCATCCAGATTGTGGCTGACAGTCTGCCATAGGAAGTCACCACTTGAACAGCTTGTCAGCAACCTGGAGAGTGCTTCTGCATGCTGTGAGCTCATCAGAGAGTGGGGAGAGCATCATGGTCCATCGCCTGGTGGATGCAGGGAAAGCCCTGTGGCCAGGACTCTACAGAGCACAGAGGTGTGGACAGGGCACTGCCCTGCAGGCTGCATCCTGTCCTCAGGGGGCCCGTGGGTTTTAACTCTTCATGCCTCTGTGTGCTCCTACACCCACTTCCTGGTGCTGTCACTTCCTGGGTAGTGCCAATGTAAGGGTGAAGTACAGAGCTACCGTCTGACTATAATCCAAATACGAATTTTGAACGTGAACTTGACTCTGAAGCTCCTTTCCCAAAGCTGAGAAGTAGAAAGGTGTAGGCGTGAGAGAGTACTGAGGAGGATTAGCAGACACCCAGGAAAGATCGGGGTGGAATAAAGAGCAGGTCTAGATGTTCACTGATGAAACAGACTCTCTTGCAGATCAAGCCTCCAGTGCTCATGACTCCCTTGGCTCTGTCGCCTCCACGGAGTACCCCGGAACCCGACCTCAGCTCCATCCCTCAGGATGCAGCCACCATCCCCAGCTTGGTGGTCCCACAGGCTCTCACAGGTACGTCAATAGAATGGACTTCAAGGGGCAATGGCTTTCTAGTAACAGTGTCCATTCATCTAGCAGTTACATTATGAATCTAAGAATTTCTCTGAGATATTCTACTGGGTGTGGTGACACACGCCTTTAATCCCAGCACCCAACACAGGAGGCAGAGGCAGGCTGATCTTTTGAGTTCCAGGCCAGCCTGGTCTACAGGGCGAATTTCAGGACAGCTGGGGCTGCACAGAGAAACCTTGTTTCTAAGAAAGAAAAGAAACGTTTCCCTGAATAACCCAAAGAAAGATCTGGCATGGAAGCTGGGCAGCAGACAGGACAGCCCCGGTCTCTGAAAGCACAGGTTTGGTTATGAAAACCTTTGTTTCCTGTGAACGTTGGGTTCAGCTGGTTGCTTTGGAATAGACAAGAGCAGTGGCTGCATCTGAGTGTGCTCACTTGAGTGTGTCCATGCTGCATTTGTATTTCCAGTTGCTACCACATCCTGCAACCCAGCGTAGCACCCATTCCAATCTTTCTCTCTATGATGATGATGATGATGATGGTGATCTATCAGCCAACCAACAGCTTCTTCTTAATTGTAACAGTAGTTAGTTGGCTACAGAGGCGCGCACACACACACACACACAGCCCCTCGTCACAACTTCACTCCCTGCCCCCATCCGGTTGAAGTCCGTTTGGCCCCTTCCCACTGCAGTGTAGAGACTAAACCTGTTAACACTGAGAAAGCCCTGCAGGGTCCAGCCTCCCCCCTCCTCCCTTCTCCCCCCCTCCCCCGCTCGACTCTCCCCTCCCGCCCCTTGATTCCACTCACCAGGTGCTGTCCGTAGGGTCCTAGCATATTCTCTTCCTCTATTGGGGTGAGCTTCCTGTCTAGTCACCCCATTGTTCCTCACACTCAGCTCGGACCACACCCTCCAGGAAGCCTAGCTGCCTTTCCTGCCAGCAGCCCCCTGCCGTAGCAACCCCTAGCTCTCCTCTTGGGTCTTCAGAGCCCGAGGTCTCACCTCAGCATCTGAGAACTGAGTAGCCAGGGTCCACATCACTCACCTGCTGGTACACAGGCCTGTTATTAACTACTTTCCAGATCTTCCGAAGTGAGGGCACATGGGAGCAGCAGCCCGAGGGAATGTAATGCCCTCTTGGGTTCGGAGGGAATTGCCTCAAATTCCACGCTGCAGTCCTGCCTGCAGATCTGAGCTGTCCCCTGGGCACTTCAGCCTCGTCTCCTCATGAGCAAAGCCATAATAATAACACCAACTCAGGCTGGCTTGATAACGTGGGAGGTGCCAGTCTGTTGTCCCCGATGTCTGTCCTAACATCCCCGAAGTCCTGCTAGTCACCTCCTAAAGTCCTTCTTAACACTCCGATAACCCAGCAGTGGTGGCACACACCTTTAATCCCAGCACTCGGGAGGCAGAGGCAGGTGGATCTCTGTGAGTTCAAGGCCAGCCTGGTCTACAGAGTGAGTTCCAGGACAGCCAGGGCTACACACAGAAACCTTGTCTCAAACAAAAACAAAAAACAAAACAAAACAAAAAAAAAAACAAAAAACAACAACAACCAAAAATCAAAAATCAAACAAAAAAGCAAAACAACACTCCCCCAAACAGTGACCTCTGAGGTAAGACGCTTACGTTGTGGGAGGAAGGACAGACACTTAAGACAGGCAATTGATGTGTGGAAGAAAATATGACCTTGTTATTAGCATTCAGTTTTTCTTTACTCTTGTAAAATTTCTATTTCTTGCATCTGTTTCACACTGTCAAAAATCCTCGGGAGACAGAAAGAACCTCTAGCATCACCACTGAAAGTGAGGAAAAGCATTCCCACCTGACTTGGGGTAGCTTTTCTCAAGAAGCTAGGAAGTGCTTCATCTGTTAAGGATCTGGCGTTGAGAGCAGAGAAGAATCTTTAGGCTTTTCTAAGCAGGTCATGATAACATTGTTGTTACTTTTTAATCTTCAAACGGCTGACCTGGGAGTGGGATCAGGACACATTGTATCAGAGCAGATCTGGAGTCAGGCTGACCTGGTGGGCAATTTCTGTTAACTTACAGATGAAACAGTTGTGAGCAGGCATGTACGCCTTAATTACAGATGAAATAGTTGTGAGCGGGCGTGGATGCCCTAATCACAGGTGAAAGAAATAGTTGTGAGTGGGCGTGGATGCCCTAATCACAGGTGAAATAGTTGTGAGCGGGCACTTATGTTGCCTTAGGACACAATGAAGTTCAACTTGTATCTGGTAGTTCTGAGCCCCTCAACCAACTGACTGCCATGTTAATAATGACTTCAATGGGCAGTCCTCTCAGTAGAAATGGTTTCTCTAAAAAGGACATATGATGGTCCCTGAGATGGGCCAGTGGGTAGATGCACCTGCTGCCAGGCTGGCTCAGTGATCTAAGTTCAAACCCTGGAATCCACATGGTGGAAGGAGAGAGCAACCTCCCTCAAGCTGTTCTCTGATCTCCACATGTATGCCGGGTACACACACCCACACACCCACACACCCACACACACACCCACACACACACACACCCACAGACACACACACCCACACACCCACCCACACACACACACACACACACAATGTAAAAAGGGATTTATGAGCTTTTTATTTCCTCTTTTAACTGCAAAATTCATAAAAATTCCCCACTGTGGTCTGCTCAAAATTTACTGAACATGGAAAACTTTTTTACAGGCTTTCTGACATTTTCCTGTAGATTTATGTTATATAAATATGATACTTACCTACAAAATATATTAATACATAATACATTAGCATAGTTAAAATGAAAATGAACACAATTTATGTTCAAATTTTTATGATGAGATATATTAACTTCAAAGTGTGGGGAATTGGGGAATGGAGAGGTGGCTCAGGGGTTAAGAGCATTTGTTGCTCTTGCAGAGGACCTGGGTTCAGTTCCAAGTATCCACACAGTAGCTTGTAACTGTCTATAACTCCAGTCCCATGGGATCTGACACCAGGTCCCAGGGCACGTGGTACACAGACATATATATATGAAAACACACCCATACACAGAAAATAAAAAATAATAATAAATCTTTTAAGTGTGGGGATATTGATGGGTTTTGACCATTATTCCCTGAAATTATAAATAGCAATCCCATTGGAACGTCATACTGCCTTAGAATGGTTAGTGTCACACCATGTTATTTATTGGTGCAAGTTCACAGGGAAATGCCCTGCTGTGCTTGGAGGAGCAGAGGAAGATTTTGTCACGTACCTGCCCAGATGGAAATACCTTTATATACACTGTCCCTATGGGCCACAGTAATTGTCTTCTGTATAGTTTTACACAGTTAAAGGGGACCCAGCCATCCCTCTGCCCACTGCCAGGAGGTCACCACTTGAGCAAGTTCTGACAACTAGGAAGTACAGCTTTTTAGCCTTTTTACCTTCTTACACCGGGAGGATCAGTCCCATGTCTGCCCTTTGCAGCTTTCCCAAGGCCAGGGCCTGGTCCAGGCCCGAGATGCCCCCCCCGTCTAGGCAGCCTGCAGGCCCGGTGCCCTCGCAATGCTAGACGTCTCAGACCCGCTGTTCTCTGTGCCCACAGTGTGCCTCTACATTAACAAGCAGGCCGATGCGGGGCCGTACCTGGAGAGGAGGAAGCTGCAGCAGCTTCCTGAGCGCCTGGGGCCGGAGCGGCCTGCAGCTGTCCTGCAGCAGGCGGTGCAGGCATGCATCGACTGTGCGCACCAGCCAAGGCTGGTCTTCTCCCTTGTCAAGCAGGGCTACCGCGGTGAGCTGGTGTCAGGTAAGGCATGGGGATGTGGGAGGCGTGCTGGGGGTCTCTCTCTGTGGTCGTCTCCCAGTGGGGGCAGTGGGGGCGGCCAGAGCCTGTCCTTCACCTGCTGGGCTCCAGGGCCTCTGTGAGCTTGTGAGCAGAATGCATCCCTTGGGACTACTTGAGAGACCGCTGCCAGACCTGGACAGCAAGAATGACCTCCCGGATGACCTCCTGGCTAACCCCTGTACCTCTGTCCTCTCCCCACGTCCAACACTGTGCCTCTGCCTTCAGGCGTATCCACATGCAGTTCCAACCACAGTGGGTTTAAGATAAGATGGTACTTGTTCTTCAACCTAAATCCTCCACTGGCTCCAAGTAAAAGCCCATTTCTTTACAAGGCCCATAGGGCTATGTGAACTGCTTCAGGCTCCCTCTCCAAACTCAGGGTTGCTTCTCTCTCCCACATTAAGCTCGGGTTAGATGACTTCTTGCTATTCTTCCTGCATCCTTCAACTATTCTCCCACCTCAGGGCCTTTGCTCCTGCTAACTTCTTTTTCTGGAATATCTTACCTAGTGGTCCATGCTGCGTGCTCCCGGAACCCCGTTTGTGTTTCTGATCAAATGCTGCCTTACTGGCGTCCTCTCTCCTGACCTTGATCTGAATGTGAGCCCTTCTTTACTGAATTCATTTTCATGGCACTCACAACCATGGAGGACAACAGGGCAAACCTCACCATTTCAACCCATCTCAGGGTGGCACCTCTTCAAACAGGATCACAGCTCTGTTTAGGCCCCACCTGCCAGCTTCCAGAGGAACAGGTTTGCCTTCAGAATGCAGAGTCCCGACCCTTGCAAATCCTTTGCCTCTCTGTCTCACACTGTTCAACTCTTGCCGCTGCCTGGATTACCAGGCTTTGCATTATCGGAAACATATTGGAGAGTCAGGCCGATATCTTCTGGCTTGGCATCGTGGCTATGGCCTTCCTTAGCACCAAGGAAAAGGCAGAAGATTTCCTGGCAATGGGCTGCCGGGTTAGTTAAGAAGGAATCAGGGAAAGCAGCCATGGAGGTACATGTCTGGAGTCGAAGAACTACAGAGATGGAGGCAGGAGTGTCTTGAGTTTGCGGCCAGTATGGACCACAGAGCGTTCTAAGACATTGTGCTACACAGTGAGATACTATCTCAAAACCTAAAGAAAGGAGAAAAAAAGAGGAGGAGAGGAGGGAAAGGGAAGGAGAGGGGAGGGAAAAGGAAGAGAGGAGCTTTGGCTAGGTTCAAGTGCATGTGTCTGACACAGGGTGATATTCGAGGGCCTCAGTAGATGTACAGACAGGAAGATGCGTGAACGAGGGCAGGGAGGAGAATCTAGTCTCGGACCTCCTGGAGTTCCTCCGCGGCTCCATGTCTTCTTTCCCTGGAACCATCCTCTTACCTTGCTCCTTGCTACAGAGTAGGGCTCAAGACATAGATCTGGGGCTGAGGGAGGGCCCCTTGCTCTGTACTCCTCTATGATGCCACTTGTCTTAGAGGCTCTATATCCCCTGCCCATGAGCTGGGAGAGCTGGTCCTGAGCCTGGCTTTCCTGCCCCTCCTTCTCTGTGGCCTCAGGGCCTTGGCACTGGGGAGAAGCAACACCAGAATGGATGACTTGTGGAGTTCCAGTTGGCTGAGGGAATTCCCAGGAAGCCAGAGAGGACCATTTTTCCCGGTGCTTTGGAGAATGCTGTAGCCCTGAGCAACAGCTCTTGCCTCCACCTTGAGGTCATTAAGTGTGGGGTAGCTTTTCATGTTCCAGTTGGAGATGGAGGTCCCACAATGCTGCAGGACAGCATCAATGTGACCCAGAGAGACGCGGGACTCCGGAGAAAGAGCGGGGTACCCACTCTGCATTTAGAAGCTGCTCCCCAAACACCCCCACGGCAGCTAAGGAGGCTGCCTGGACTGCAGACACTCTGAGAGCTGAAGGAAGCAGCATCAGAGAGCCGCACAACCCCCCTCCCAGCAGGACTGTTGGGGTGCTCTGCCTTAGCCGCAACCCCGAGAGGGAGAATTTAGGAACGCAGGAGCTCCACACCCTCTTGCAAGAGATGGGATTTCTCCATGTGTGCAATCCCATGAATACTTACAGAACACATGCATGACTTGGTGGATAGACCTGAGGTCCCGAGACCCTCCACTCAGGGCCAGTTTCAGTATCACTCAGCCTTTTAAGTATCACTTTAGCCCACACTAATAGGGGATTTGCAAAGTGTCCAGAATAAGCATAATGACAGCTCTGTGACTGGCCCCTGGACCAGAGCCACTTGGGGTTTTAGATGAAAAGCAAGTGCCACATGGTGGACACATGAACTGAAAAATCCAGTGGAGGGTTCTCCTTAGCTTCATCTTCTGCAAGGAGGGACAGTAGCCTTCCGTCCCATCCTCAAGGCCAGCCAGGAGGCCTGTGAGGAAATGAGTTCCACAGGCCTAATCAAATTGAAAAATGGAGTCTTTTTGGTGTCTGGTTATAATAAAAGCTAACAATAGCAGCCCCTGCCATCAGCCAACCTTCAGGGCATACAATGCAGACCTAGGCTGCCCGCTAGTGTTGCTGTGTGGGGGAGCCTAGGGCAAAGCAGATGTCCTCTCTGAGGTGTCCTTGTGTGTCCCTCACATGGAGCTGGGGTGCAGTTCTGGGGTGAGGGGCTGTGAGGCCAGAGACAGGGCAGACACTGCTCAGTGCTTCCGGAAACTGACGCCACTTCTCGATTTGGTTACTGTCTAGAGCTGGAACCTGGTGTTGCTCTAGAGAACCCCCCGCCCCATTTTTAAATATTTATCTTTATTTTATGTGCATTGGTGTTTTACCTGCATGTATGTCTATAAGGGTTTTGGAGTCCCTCGAACTGGAGTTACAGACAGTCGTGAGCTGCCATGCGGGTGCTAGGAATTGAACCTGGGTCCTCTGGAAGAGCAGTCAGTGCGCTTAACCACTGAGCCATCTCTCCAGCACTGAGTTAAAGACTGTTCTGTTGGGGGCTTCCCCTGAAATCCCCCTGGGGTCCTCTGGTGACAAGTGTCATGTAGAATTGGAGACTTCAGGGTGAACTCAGGTGTCTGTATCTACCTCCTCCTTCAGACATGGATAGAGATAGACTCCTGGGTAGAAATGTCAACAGGTACATAATTACACCAAGTGAGCACACATCCACACTTCCAACGCTCTGCACACTTGGAGGGTTCAAAATTACTGACACTCAGGAGCAGTGAGCTCACTCGGTTCTCTGATTGGGTTTCTCTGCATCCTTCATTCATAAAAGGAAATAGGACAGTTGGAGAATGGCTGATTCTAGGGCTGGACCAGGATGAACCTGGAATATACCAAAGTGCCCCAAACCAAAAAGTGTTGAATTGGAAGGACACAGGAGTCAACCCAGTAGAGTTCCCAAAATGAAAGCTGGGACAATTTGAAGAACAAGATAATAAATAGCCTTTGACAACCCAGGACATAAAACATGTATCCTGGAATCACACCAAGCTTAACAAAATGACTGAGTAAAGAATTACTGGGAGATGAGACAAGCTTTCCTTACAGAGGAATCGTATGTGATATGTGGGATTTGCTGCTCCTCAGGTCAGGATGTGGTACTAAACACCCGAGACCTTTGGGAGTAGGCAGATTTAGTGGCTTGGTAACCCAGGCTTAGAGGCTGGGCCCAGGGACAGAATGTGGAGAACAGAGTGTAAGGGCGTGGGGCACATTGGCTCCACTGAGTGTGGGAGGCTCACAACCCCCCAGAAGTGCCCTGTGGGTATGACATGGCCCCTGTTCAGTGTTCCATGAAGGGTTCTTTGTCTCTGTAGTCTTTCTCCCCTGTCCCATGACTCCTGCTGTGAGAAAAAATATCAGACAAACGGACAGACAGATCTCCATATCTGAGCAGAACTGGTCAGAGCCGCTGCCACAGTCATGAAAATCAAGGAAAGGAGGAGATAGAGGGCCATGATAACTCAAGCAGTGTGCTGTCCGGGGTAGGACCCTAGAGTGGGAACAGGGCGTTACGGAGACTTCCAGGGTAGCTCCACAGAGCCCACTTACGAATAAAAGGGAAATCGATCGCCCTTCCGGCTTTCCACGCCCAGCCCTGAGTTGCTCTTTCTGGTTTTCCAGTCTCTGCTTCCTTTGATGGAAAACAGCACCTGAGGAGTCTGCCCGTGGTGAACAGTGTGGGCTATGTCCTCCGCTTCCTGACCACACTCTGCCGCAGCCTCCTATGTGACAACCTCTTCAGCCACCTGCCCTACCCCGGGAGCCTCGGTGCCTCTGAGAAGACCCAGGAGAGAGAGGATGCGAGGACGGAGTCAGGTGAGGTGGACTTGCTTCTTCCTGCTGCAGGGGCCCTCCCTCAAGGTTGCCAGATGAGGCAGCTGCTGAGGAGCGCGGCTGTCCTCTGGAGGCCCAGGCCCATTTCTCTGGGCTCCCAGGAGGACTCCCAGCTGACTGGAACTCAGGTGTCCAGACTATTCCCATCCTATACTCCAGGGAAACATGGTCTCTCCAGCTCCTGAGAGCTGACACCCTAGCTTTGCAGCCTGCGTGCTTAGAATTTAGACTATGACACCACATCGCATCTTCCGAGAGATTTTCTTCCCCCTACTGTAAGGAAACTCTGGGTACTTGCTCATCATTGTTGAGAAATTGAAGGACTCTGAAACTAAGGAACTAAACAAGGAACTAAGCAATCCCAAAGAATATAGGCTGATGGGGCAGATGTAGTCTTCCTGCGTGGAGTCTCCCGTGTTTATCCGCTTGAAGAAGCTACATAACTAAGATCCTACACTGAAGGAATTTGATTGGGCCATGCATCAAATATGCACTCCTTTGAGAACTGGTGTTTACCTCTTATCACAGGATGGAAAGTAACCAAAGGTTGAGCAGCTTGGGTACCATGGCCACAGAATAGCCCGGGTTGAATAAATGGCCAGTGGGCGGGGCAGGGAGGCCAATGCCTCAGCGCTGTCTGCCTCTGTAGATACCAATGACAGGTGCTCCTTCCTTACTTAGCAAACTAGAGGCATGGATTTGCAGAATTCAGCAAGAATCTCAAGGGACAGCAGAGACGTCTTGACTTTTTTCTTTCTCTGAAAGTAGCATTGTTGATCTAGGAAAGGTACACGGGAAACAGAGCAGAGGCAGGGGCAGGGTGTTTGCCTTGGTTTCCTTCAAACATTCACAAAAGCAACTGAAGGGGGGAAGGGTTGGTTCTGGCTCACAGTTCCAGGATGGACTCCATCATGGTGGGGGAGTCCAGAGGCAGGGGCTTGAAGCAGCTGATCAGACCGGGCCTGAAGTCGGGGAGCAGAGAATGATAAACACTGTGTGAAGGCTCGGCTCCCCTTCTTCACCTTATACAGACCATCAACTTCCTCCCAGAGAGTGGGACCATCTACAGCTCAGATGGGTCTCCTCACGTCAGGTAATGTAAGATCATCCCAACAGGCATGTCCTGTGTCTTAGGGTTTCCATTACTGGGATGAAACACCATGACCAAAAAGCAAGTTGGGAAGGAAAGGGTTTATTTGGCTTACACTTCCACATTGTAGTCCTTCACTGAAGGAAGCCAGGACAGGAACTCAGAGCAGGAACCTGGAGGCAGGAGCTGATGCAGAGACCATGGAGGGGTGCTGCTTACTGGCTTGCTCTTTATGGCTTGCCCAGCCTGCTTTCTTTCAGAACCCAGGACCACCAACCCAGAGATGGCCTCACCCACAGTGGGCTGGGCCCTCCCCCATTGATCACTAATTAAGAAAATGCCTTACAGGCTTACCTGCAGCCTGATCTTATGGAGATATTTTCTTAATTGAGGTTCCCTCCTTTCAAATGACTTTAGCTTGTGCCAAGTTGACATAAAACTGCCCAGCACACCCTGAGCCCCATCTCCCAGGTGATCCTAGAGTCTGTCACATTGACAATGAACACTGTCACTAATCAAGGTTCTAAAAACAGTTGTCAAACCTGCCTCTGTCCAAAGCTCTACGTGAGACCCTGTCTTGGAAAGGCATAGTTTAGGAAACTTTTTGATGAATAAAAGTACAAATCATGAAAAAAAATGTTTCATCTGCAGGTCTGGGCTCACAGATTTAGAGCAGAATATAAAATACTTACAATAAAGATGACTATCTGTCAGGGCCGGTGTACTGGCACATTCCTGCAACGTATCACTCAGGAAGAGGAGGCAGGGTGATGGTGAATTTGAAGCAAGCCTGAGGTGTCTTAAACATGAGTAAATGAATAAGAGGCTCTATCTCAAGCCCAAGAGGAGAGTAGGGAAGGACTCATTTAGATCCTTCAAATAGGGTTTCTTGGATACTATAGGAACCTTGCCTACAGTTTCGTTTTGATCCCACTTAGACCTTGGAAGAAGGAAGAGATTTGTCCATTCACATAGAAAAGTAGCTGAATATGATTAGTGTGAGCAGAGGCCATATGCCTGTGTGCTTTTCTTCACGCCTCTATGTGAACTACAAACGGTCCTCTCTCCATTCTCCGGGCCTGTGCTTCCTACATCAAATAAGAAGTTGGAGGTGTGGACACAGAGTATTCTTTCTGTCGCCTCCAAACCATAGTGTTCTCAGAGACACATGGAGTTAATTTTCTACAAGATCTTGGCATGAGACTAGCACAGATATATGGTTTCATTTCTCAAACCCTTGCCTCCTTGGGTTGAACAAACGAGACCCATAGGACATGCCCAGGAGGACACAGCTGGTACTTCCCACAGTCCTGGAAGCCTGCCCTCTGGACCAGCTCTTCTCTATGAATGAAATTTAGGATAAATCTTGTGACTTTTCCAGTTCCTTTCATGTTACAAAATGTTCTTATTCAACAGCTAATGTGCTCGGGTGGGTGTAAGTAATATCTAACCGAGTTTCCCTGGGAGATCTTACTCCTGTGTTGCCGATTTCCAGCTTAGCTTCCTGCAGGTCACCTGCCTCTGGCAGTGAAGGTGGGCATGGTTGGATTCTCCACCCCTCCCACATCCAGCAAATCCTGATTGATTTCCTAACCCCTCACAGCCGTGTGGGGGTGGAGGAAAGGAAAGGGATAGCTATGCTCTGCTGTAGGTTAGCATTTGTTCCCTGTTTCTGGCAAGTGTTTGATTGCTCCTGAGTGGGCTCTCCGGTCCCCTTACCATCTCTCACCCACATGCTTCTTGACGTAGACAAATATTTGCTGTTCTTTTCTAGGTAGGTATCTACATTTCTTTTGGGGGGGCAACTCTACTCTCTCTCTCTCTCTCTCTCTCTCTCTCTCTCTCTCTCTCTCTCTCTCTCTCTCTGGTCCTGGGGTGTCATGGCCTTGATTTGGACATGCTAGGCAAGTATTGAGCCACCCCCCGCAACCCTGGATTTTTCAGGCAGGATCTAGAACTTGTGGTCCTCATGACTCCTGTATGGTGAGATCCCAGGGGAGTGCCAGGATGAAGCCTGCCCTACAGCATGGACTTAAGGTGTTCCTGCAGCTCTCTCCAGATGGCCACTTCTGTTTCTTGAGAAACATACATTCTTTGCCCCAATGATCTCAGCACACATGCTGACCTCTGCAGGGTACCCCTCTTTTCCTCTGCCAGCTGTCTGTGGTCTTTCGGGTTTTCCAAGGGACTCAGAGAGTAATTGAGTGTATAGCCCAAGCTCTAGGGGACAGAGAGCAAACTATTCACATAGCCATGTTAAAGCCATTGGGAAGAGACTGATACTTCTCTTCATAATTTGGCTTCTAGTCAACCTTCTGGTCAATCTCAGTCTTGTTCACACACTAAATGTAGATAATCATTTACTGGAGAAAAATTGGAGACTCTCTCTGTGTGTAGGATATAATATTTATTGATGAACATGATTAATGGGGGGAATGCAATGGGAACCCTCAAAGCACAGGGCCTGACATTTATCTACAGGATCCATGACTGGGGATGCATTTGCCCTCATAACCACCATGAATGAATTGCTGGTGAAGCCCACTTCGAGATTTGGTTCTTCTGGCATCCAGGGGACCTGAAGTCAGCCTTTCACCAGGCCATGGTGACATGTCCTTTTTTCTGCAGATTGGTGCAGTTGGACATGATGATGTGACCATTGTGAACCCTGGCTACTGGACCTGGGGCTTCCCAAAGGCAGCCATATCCCTGTCTGATTCTGCCAGTTCCCACACAGGACAGTAAAGGATGCTGAAAAGGTGGAGCTGTGCTCCAACACAAAAGCTATCTTTCTGGTAACTTTACTGTATACTTAGGGGCATGGCTGCAGGTGACCTCCAGGGCTTTTGAGCAGAACTGCTTGTAGTCATCTGACACCATGGAGCCACAAAGTGGGAACTGGTCCTCTTTTGCCTTCTGTCCCAAGTCAATGAAGCAGATCTTAGCATCCGTGACACTTCAGCAGAACAGAAGAGACGTTGGGTACCACTTGTTGGTAACATCGGGATCTTCCATGCTGTGACAAAGGAGGAGTGTCTTAGTTACTTTCTGTTGCTGATAGAACACCATGACCAAGGCAGCACATATAAGAAAGCATTTAATTGGGGTTATGGTTTCAGAATGTGGAGTCCGTGATGGCAGGGCAAAGGCATGGTGGCAGGAACAGCTGAGATGTCACATCTCAAACTGAAAGCAGGAGACCACACTGGGAATAGCATGAGTCTTCTGAAACCTCAAAGCCTACCCCTAGTGACACACCTCCTCCTGAAAGGCCACACCTCCTGATCCTTCCCAAGCAGTTCCACCGACTGGGAACCAAGCATTCAAACCTATGAGCCTACGTGAGCCATTCTCATTCAAACCACTACAAGGAGTTCCACCATCACTTTTTGTAACATTTCCCTAATGGCTGCTGTCTTCCAGCCTTAGCCCAAGCCCAAACTAAAACAGTCTTGTTTTAACATCTTATCCCAGAAAGGACCAGAAGCCTTCCTCAAAGATGAGAGCTGGTTTCTTTCTGAGTCAACCTTGAAGAAATGACATTAGCTGTGCTCATGAGCCCTTCCCCGATTCAAGATGACTTACAAAAAAACCAGGTTGATCCAAATCAGCCAGTCCATGTCTCAGACACCTCCTACCCTGGAAGCTGCAGAGCTGAACACCTGCTCTGAGCTTCTTCACTGATAAGGGCCATTTTCAATTTTTCCCAAGTCTATTTAGTGTGTGTATGTATACAGTCTATTTAGTGTGTGTGTATGAATATAGTTTATTTAGTGTGTGTGTATGAATATAGTTTATTTAGTGTGTGTATGTATATAGTTTATTTAGTGTGGGGGTGGGGCTGTATTGGTTAGTTTTAGGTCAACTTGACACAAGCTAGAGTCATCTGAAG